TAATTGTCACAGTCTCAGATACACCATTTTGGTAAGCTTTAGAATCTGCCATTTCATTTTTGCAATGATATTTGATGTTGTGTTAAATTTCCGCATTTTCGTAATTTACCAACAATTAAATTCGGAAATCACAGTAAATTTTATTCAGTCTTCTAAATCAGCACCATATATTAAAAATCATATATTATATTATAAAGATCATATATTATATCATATCACCATATATTGAATCTGAAGTATTTCGAACTTCCAATAAAAAGAGTACATATATTTTTCGATTTTTCTTATAGTTGCTAATAAGTAAAAAGTATAGCCCTTCTAAAGCAGTAGAGTCGGGAAGACTGGATTTTTTTTAATCTTCCTCTTAGAATTTTCCATTCCCTTTAAACCGGTTTGGACTTAAATTCTGCTGATCTTGAGTTTTTCTTTTACGGGAAAGAAAATTTCTTCTTTAATATTTCTTTTCGTACTCTTTAAACCAAGTTCTTATCACGTAACGCAGCACATTTAGTTAATTTGAAAAGAGCTATGCATCATTTTATAACAAAAACCAGAAACCAATTTGCCGTAGTAGTCTTTATGGTATTGTTTCTGAGACATGGCATGAGTTATTTAACAATTTTGAATCTCACGAAGTAAAGAAATGTCCACTTTTCTTTGGCTGAAGCAGGTAATGGAAAAAGAGAAACTTTTCTCATTTTTCTAGGTTTGGTTTTGGTTTTAGCGTCATGGGTCAATTTAGAATAAATCAGGTTTAATATATTTGACTCCGATTTTCTGAGTTTCTATAAGATCTGGCAAGCCTTATTTGTGGCATTTTATAAGTTAGAAAGAATGGTTTGCGTACCACATAAGATATATGAAATTTAACTCTTCAAGCCTGCTAGAGAAATTAAAATTAAGACTTAAAATTAAGACCATATATTACAAGATATTTCTTCCATTTTACTTCCATTTTGCATGTTTGTGAAACTGAAAGCACATCTGTATGTCAATAAGATGGTCTGGAGTTCGAATCCCTGCAAGTGCACTGCCAATTTTTCGCGTCATGCGTTCCACCATAAATCGCCTCATGGTATCTCCAGGACTCCGGAAATAAAAATGCGGTGAACGATAATTCTTCACCACCAGTATTTGGAGACTAGTTCCCCTTCTTCCCTGTGGCCCTTTAAGTTGGGGGAATGTAAGGTATTCTCTGCCTTCTTAACTGCATTCTTTCAGCTTGTAATTGGAAAGAATGTCGGACTAGCATTCGGAACTTACGGAGTTCAAATCCCGACGAAGGCACTGTTGATTTCATGCGTTCTCTGATTGCTGAAAGTTCTATAACAACTCTACGAGTAGCGTCCGAAATAAAATGTGGCGGACGGTCATTCAGCATCACTAGGATTTGATGACTACGTCCACTCTTGATGAGTCACCTTTTAATTGAGGGAGAATATAGGGGTTTTCTTCCTCCTTACCAAGTCCTTTCGTGGTGTAATTGAAAGCACATTTGGTTAGCATCAGTGGATTCAGAATATGACTCCCAGTAGTGGGATATATATCTATCCCACTACTGGGATATATATATATATATCAGCCTTAACTTCCTACTCAACTTTAAACTTCAACAGACTACAGTAGTGGTATCTACTGTATACAAAGATTTTGCATCTCTAAGTATGTGCTTACATGTCATATTTGATACAGCGTAACTGTTTTATCTACAATTAAACTTGAAAATTATAGTACATATATATTGTTAATAAGACTGTACTAATTCTCAATACATTTCTAGACCTAATATAAATACAATAAGCATAATTTCGTTTTTAAACTGTGTTACTTTAATATAATTAGCCCAAAGGGCATTAGCTCAGATGTGCTATTAATTTCGTTTTGACATTTTGCGTTGGTAAATGTCGGTTCACTTTCCAAATTGTTGCCAACCAAATATTAGAGCTATGCATTATATTTAAAGAAATTAAATAATGAAGAATCTGCATGAGTGTATGTATGCTTCCCGCACGGCGAAAAAACAACAAGACCTAGAGACATCAAATTTTCCATTAGTTGTCCTCCACTAAAATAAGGGCAATTGGAAGCCCGAACTTAAATTTTTTTTTTTATTATCTATTTCATGTTTTGTAAAATTTTAACGAATTTTTGATTAACAAACCCTACGATTTTGAAGAGAGCTATGGAAATCACTGTTCGAAAAAAAACCTTTTTATCTCCAGTGTGCGATATTGTGTGTCGGAAATTCTAAAGATAGGCTCTTTTTTGTGATATTGCTGTTGAATTGAATTTCATGATTTAGGTGTGAAGAACATCATATTTAATAAATAAAGGTAACACACAAAATGGTTTAAAAAAATAACCCCTTTGGGCGTAATATAAAATCTGAAAGCTTTCAAGACTATTATTATTATTTTTTTATTATTATTTGGGTTTGCTTTAGTTAAATTTCGTTTAATTTAACTGAGTTTCTTATTGCATTTATTAAACGAAACATTTTTCTCTTTTAATTAGATCAATTTTTTAAGCAGGTTGATTAATTAATTAACTCAAATAAACTAATTAATTTATTAATAACATTAGCCTTAATTAGTGTCACTACTATTAATATTAATTTAATTATTTTAATTAAATAGGAAAATGAGGCAGAATTTAACAGTATACAATTTATTGACTTCATTTGAAACAGAAAGGTGTATCCATTACTTTTAAATGATGAAAATGTGTAGATAAGCGATAAATAGAAAGGCAATGAGTGACAATAATTAAAAAATGTGAATAAATCCAACGAAAGAAAAACCACACGGATGTGCATTTCTTAATTAATATCATCAGTATGCTACAGTTTCATTAGCATGATTTTAAGTAAATTAGTTAAAACTGCAAAGAAATGTCAAACAATAGAAAGCTGATGTTTACACACACCGTAGTGTCTAATTAGATTTTCAGTTTTTTTTTCTTTATTTTTCTCTTTTTGAAATATTTTAAATGATGGAAAAATTTTAAATGATGGAAAAATTTTTAAATAATTTTGTGGAAGAATAGTAACTAAACGGTTAAGGAAAATTATACGGAAGGAATTAAAGTCAAAATTATTTAAATATTTTAGCTTCATCTTATACAGGTAACTGAATATTTTTAGACATGGGCAGACAATGTGCTCTAAAAATATTTCCACGTGCATAAATTTGAACTCCTTTATATCTGCATGGGGTAATTCGTGAAAATATTTGCAATTTTCTCTTACAGAATAAATTTTTAACGAAAGGAAAATGGAGATAAGCATATGTGACAGCATTAGTTCGCGCTATGTTTTTCTATCATTTTAAAAAGAGGAAAAGTATAAACCAGTTGTTGTTGTTAGGATTTATCTCACTTGTCTGACAGAATATCAGAACAAGCCCTAGAAATTCATCATGGCAAGGAGAGCAGGATTGAGCCTGTCGTTGGCAAGAGTCTTAAATAGCATACAGTTGACAGCATGATTTGCTCAGTTCCGCCGCCAATTTTGATGGAAGGTACACTGGAGGGACAAGTCCGAGGGTTTCCCACCACACACTTCTCGAGAGAACATTCGGCTCACAGGATATATTTGCAGTGCCCCTATGCAGCACAGACAATGCACACTTGCAAACATCCATGCCTTCTCCGGGTTTCGAACAAAGCCCCTTCGGTACGGAAGTAAGCGTCGCTAACCATTATCTCGGTTGGGCGGCTAAACCAGTGCCTCCACCTTCTACAGTTAGCATATGGAATGAAGCTGCATCTTGTGCCACTATATTTAGTTTGTTTACAAAGTTTCGTAGACTTCGGATTTCTCTCCTGGATAAATAACATCCAAGCTAACTTTTGTCACCTGTACTCCCAGAGAATGTGTTGGCTATCCATATAGGCTAATCAGTGATAATCGATGTGCCTGTCAAATGATACAGAACTAAATTAATATTAGATCCGCAGCTTTACATAAAATTATTAATGAAGAACACCTGCATATGGAAAAATTAGTTTGCGGTTGTTTACCACATAAAGAAACAGAATACCAAAACGCGAAGCATATCAATATTAGTAAAGAAACCCTGAAACTACTTAATGATGGTGCGCAAAATGTTTTATTTCTAAAATTATAACTGGTAATGAAACGTGCATACTGTTTTTTAACGTTTCGGTATGTCAAGAAAGTAAAGTATGGGTCTTTGAAAATGACCTCCAAATCAACAATGAGGAAAAGACAATGATGATTGAAAAACATAATGTATGTCGTTTACTTCTGAGCCGCAGGTTTTGTCAAAATTATCGAATTAGAGAGACAGAAGATAGGTACAACTAACTGATTCACCGTTTAGTGTCTTCTGGAAGTTATTCAAGTAGCGGAAATTAGAGGAATACATGATTCATTATAATAATTCATCTTTGCATTCAAAAATACTGACAGCTGAATTCCTTGAACAAAAAAGGCAATAAAATGATTTAACAACCACTCTATTCATCTGATCTTGCTATGTGAAATTTGTTGGTTATTTTTAAATCTAAAACAAAATTTGCGTGGCCGGTGTTTTCTTTCCGAAGATGAAATTAATAAAACTATGAAAGCATATTTTTGATCTATTTAAAAAAATGGATGGCTTAAAACATTTAATCTTTGAATAATATCGCTTACAATAATGCAATGATTTTGGAAGGATCTTCTTTGACCATTCTGAAGATTCTGTAAGTTTAACTTATACATTTAGCTGTATATCAAAAATTTCGAAGTGATCCGTGTATTATTTCATTGCGCTTACAACTGGATATTTAAAACTCCATACTAAATAATATAACAGAAAAAGTAATACATAGGAAAGTGATTACTGAAACTGCAGGATATTTTATACTATGTATAATCAACTGTTTTATCTGTATCCAAATAAGATTTATCTTGAAATTTTTGAAACATTACTACTTTCCTAAATATGAGCTATTTAAAATTAATATAAAGTTCATCTTTAATTCTACATCTATAGCTTCCCCCAGCTGAGTACCAGAGGGACGGCTGTTCATCCAGTGTTACTAAGATCACAAATGATTCAATGGCTTTAACACAACAATCATCAGCTCCACCTGGTGTCAGTGATGCTACCATAAATTCCGAGGTAGGCGATAAATGTTTGAATTTACATAATTAAATATTAGATTCTTAATTGAATGTGCTTAATTTAGTAATAAAGTTTTCTTTTATGTTACTGAAATTCATTAACTAGCATGCTTCTGGAATTCAGAGTCTGATTTGTTAGTAAAGTTAGTGAGTTCCAGTAGCTATTACAAGCTGCACAAAAAAAATGTGACAGTTCTATATTTCCAATTCCACTGAGCCTATTGACGAAATTTCACTTATGTTTTTCATGTTTCAAAAACAAGACTTAATAATATTTATTAGATTTATACACAGCATTAGATGTTTTAACATAAAATTAGACTTTTCTGAAAGTACATATCGATTTTTTTCCATATTTCGATTCTATTACATATATTTTCATATTTCGATTCAAATTATGCCAAAGTACCAAGCTTTGCAAAAGTCGAACATTAGTTTTTTAAACAACTAGGTCTCAAAATTGTAACTCTTCAATGTTAAGGTAATTATTTATTAATATTTCGATTCTTTCTTTCTTAGTTCGAAATTTAGGCTCAGTCCAACTGAAATTCGCAGATATTTTCTGATATTTTTTTAAATTTCTATTTTTTAGTAATTCTTATAAATTTTTCCAAAACATTTTGGAATTATAGCCTATAAAATTTTCACCACCACCTTAAAATAGATATATTTCTAGGCATACTTAAAAAAATATTACTTTTTATTCAAAATTTCTCAAAATGTACGAGGATTTATACCTTGTCGCGTTTTGAAATTTGGCATATTTGTTATAAGCCATAATAAGGTCAAAAGAATTTACTCACTTAACTAAAATTATTTGAAAAAATGAACGATGCACCTTTTTGTCCGCCTGTGTGCAATGAAAGGAAAAAAATAGGTTACTATGAATTAAGAATGAATTATTATTAAGAACTTAATGAATGAATTATTCTCATCGCAAACTGAAGAAAGTGGGAAAGTGCAAACTAATTTCGTCTCCAAATTTTAAAAAATTTAATATTTAGGTATAATTTGAATCCTATAATCGAAATACGAAAATATTCGGTATGTGATTTCAGAAAGGTTTGATTTTATATCAAAATTTATAAAGTTTGAACAAAGTTCTGTTTATAAATCTAATTTATTGGGTCATATAAAAAGTCTCCGCGCATTTTTGGTACATTTTTGAACAAAATGTTTCTTTATCGAAAACCAGTTTTAATCAAGTGCATATTAACGATTATTATCCATGATGTTTTGCCATTTTTCGGGTAGCTTTATAATTCCATCGGTGTAGAACTTCTGTGGTTTATCGTTGAAAAACTTGGGCGAGTGATTTTCAGCGGCTTCGGTCGGCCAATTTTTTACCGTCAAGGGAGTTTTCCCGAGACCGAAGAAAATGGTAGTCAGACGGTGCAAGGTTCGGAGGATGCATCAAAGGTTCGGAGAGTGCAAGGTTCGGAGGAGGTTATATGGAGGATGCATCAAAACTTTTCAACCAAGTTCCGTCAATTTGTTCCGAGTCATCAAAGATGTGTGTGCCCGCGCATTGTCATGATGAAACACAGCTCACTTTCTTTTGGCCAATTCTGGTCGCTCTTTCTGTATTGCTTCGTTCAAACGCTCGAGTTGTGCACAGTTCATGACCGAATTCATGATTTCGCCAAGTTGCAATTTATGTGCCCAAACATTGAGCTTCTTTTTGTAACCTGCTCTTTTCAAATGATTCCAAACTGTCATCTGGTTGATATTTAGTGCCTATCCTATTTGCTGACAGCTTGCGTGCCGGTCTTGCTTCACCAGTTGGAAAATGTCATTGTCTTTTTCAGTGACTGGCCGACCAGAGCGAGGTGCATCTTCAATATCGAAATTTCTGGAACAGAATCCAGCAAACCACTCCTGGGTCCTTCATTCACTCACAGCATTCTCACCATACACTTCACAAATTTTTCGGTATATTTTTCCAGCCTTTTTACCTTTTTTGTAGTAAAAAAAGCATCACATAAGGCATATTTCTTCAGATATTTTCACTCATTTTCAAATCAAAACAACTTTTTACACAAGCAACGAATTAGGAAACTATTTTCACAAACATTGGAAGCTGAATGTAATCTTCCAAGTACATGTTCGTTTGAGACAATCGGATGAGTGTTGCCGGATATATAGGCATCAACGTCATCTAGTGGCAAAAAAAAACGCGGAAACTTTTTATATGACCCAATATATCCTATGTCGCGCTTTCGAGACAGGGAAAACGCAAGTTAAATTTCGTCAATTGGCCCAGTAACGTAAGAAATATAGAACTGAGACTTTTTGTGTGTGTAGAGTGTTAGACTTCATTTAATAACTATACTATTAATAATAGCCAGTTAAATAAATTCTAGCAATAAGTTTCTCTGATGCATTCATAAAAGTATTTGTGGTTAAGGTTCAGTGTTTTGAATGTTTATTGTTTTGTGAATAAATTTTTAGTCCAAAGGGGCTTTGTCCCTGAAGGACTATTGTTTTCATTTTGCGATTTTGCGTCGGTTCACTATAAATGTTCGTTTCACCTTTCAACTGTTGCCACCAAATGTTAGAGTCCTGCATTATATTTGAAGAAATTAAATAATGAAATATCTGCATAATGTATGTATATTTTTTGCATTGTGATAAAACAACGGTACATAGCGCCATCGAATTTTGAATGACGTCGGCCACTGCGAAAATGGGCATGTGGAAACCCAAATTTGAAATTCGTTTTATTATCGATTTCATATTTTGTAAAGCATTTATGAGTTTTTGATAATGAAACACAACGATTTCAAAGTTGGCAAGTTCAGTTAACAATGATGTCGGTGGATAAATCTCACGCGGATTTCCCTCCAAAATAGCCAAGGCTCAATAATATTGATATCTGGTGACTGTGGGAGCCAAAGTATATGGTGACGATAAACTTTATGCTCAGAAAAACCAGTCCTGGAGGAAGCTAGCTGAATGAACAGGTTCTCTGTCGTCTTGAAATTCGATATCACTATTAGGGAACAAAATCTGTACTTTGGGATAGACGTGATCAGCCAAAATGGTCACATAATCCTTGCCATAATGTGACCTTGCACGTTAATGACGGGTCTCGTGGAATACTACAATATATCAGCCCAAATCATGACCGAACCCCCGCCATGTTTCACTCTTGGCAGCAAACAGTTTTAATCACACACTTGGGACTACGTTTGCCAGATGTAAACTCGAAAAGAAGTCGGAAAAGTGTAAAACAAGACTCATCTGACCACATTACAGTCGTCCATTGCGCTAAAATCCAGGTTTTATGACTTTCGCACCAATTTCTCCTCTTACAGACATTTCGATCACTGATGAGTGGCTTGTGAATTACAGCCTTCCCAAAAATAGCCTGCTTGTGGAGCACCCTTCGTTTTGTTTTGGTGCTGAGAGGGTTTACAAGTGCGACATTCAGTTCAGCAGTCTTTTTTGTGACTGTAGTCCTCTCATTTTTTTATTACACTCTTCTTCAATGATCGTCTGTCATGTTCACTCCACACACATTTTCATCCACGCTGTGATTTAGCGGATGCCTCTTTTCCGGTTTTCATATATGAGTTACAAATCTTAGATACTGTGCCTTTTGAAACTTCAAACACTTCAGCTACCTTGGTTATGGAAGCACCCGCCATACGAGCCCCAACAATTTTCAAACTTTCGAATTCATGGCTCCGACATGATGCACTCACAACTGCACAGAATTGTCTCTCGATAACGAATGACACTTGCAACGTATTAAGAATGTTGTACAGGTGGCATTAGTGAGGAAACACACCAGCGTCACGGACAGCTTTTGCAAGAATAAACATTTTTATTCAAAAACGCATTTCACAGGACGTTTCCATACATTTATCCAACCTCTGCATATCCAGATATATATCTACATTTTTAAATCTATCTATATATCTATATATACTACATCTGTATACTAAAGGAAGGGGAAATTCTTGTTAGTCCAGATTTAAATATCGTTCATATTATACATAATTTTAGAGCAAATTCATTTCTTCAATTAATAATTAATATTTTTGCTTTTATTGATAACATCTAAAAATCAAAAATAAGAATTATCTTACCAACCATTAGCTCTTGTAATGCATATAAATAACATTCATATTTTTACTAACACTAATAAAAAGTCGAGTAATAATGAATTAGGTAGTTAAATATAATTTTTAATCAGGCGATTTTAATAATTTTAATGAGGTTTCTTTTATTATAGCTCAGCGGAAAAATTTATATTTTTGTTTTCAAATTTTACACTGGTGAAAGGTTTTCTCCTTGCTTTCTATTTTATCTTTCTATTTTATTACAGTATTCTTCTACGTTTCAAAATGTGGAAGTGATTATTAATGGAAAAGAAAAAGAACCGATTGCGGAGCAGATAAGTACTGCTGGGGAAACGAATAGAAACTCACCAAATGGAATCGAAAATGCTGTCTATGTAGCTATTTCTGAAAATGGTATATGTTTTTAATATCATACTCCTTTCATACACATAGCAAGATAATAAATTAAATTGACAAACGTAGCATATCTCTCAGGTCATTTACTTAAAATAATCCCGAGCAGCAACGACTATGTCAAACCGAAGATATTTAATTCTTTGTTTCTTTTCGTATTTATTAATATATCATATACTTTGTATTATTTTATTTTTCCGTTTATTAGGCTGTTTATTATGAAAATAATCTTTAAAATAAGCGAAAAATAACTTTCAGTGTTTACTTGTAATACAATAAAGCACACATAAACTTAAGTACATTTATGCTGCTGAGTTCAAAATATATGGAACATTTCTCTTGAAGTTAAAACTCTATTGAAACATTGAAATTGGCTCGTTCGTTTGTTTGAATACGGCAAAATATACAAGGGCCTAAGGAGATGGATGCTTTCATGAAAGACAATCTAACGGAACTTTCTAGTATGCACGAAGAAAAAAAAACTGATAAATATTAATGACTTGTTTCAATAATAAACAAGAGTTAAATTAATTAGTTTGCTATTTTTAGTAGAATTGGTATTAAATTGTTTCATTTTCTAGTGCAATGCTGCGCGCGACAAATTTTAAGAGAAAGCTGCGCCGAAAGAGTAAAAGTACAGGAGCACGCGCATTTAACAAAGATATCTAGTAATTGCTTTTACTTTCCAGAAAACTCGAGAAATAAAAATTACCAGAATGCATCAATTCATCACACCAGGTGCAGAGCCCTATGCCGATATCGAATGCAAGCAGGTGACGTGCAGTCTCCTCGGAGCCTCCAGACCCTTATACGGCCATGCAGGTAGAACCGGGACCCGTCTGAAAAGACAACATTGTGCCACTCCTGTATCCAGCTTTGACATTCATCTCACCAAAGTTGCCGCCTCTCTCTATACTGCATTGTCAAGAAATGCCAAAGTAATGGTTGCCGTGCTGATAGTTCACGCTGCTACAAACGTCGACTCACCGCACGAGCGGATACTGGGTGGGCTGCAAACATGCCCATTTCCTGACTAATGGTCCTTGATGTGGTTGCACGTTTTTGCAGGGCTAACCTCATAAAATAGGGTCGACCAGTAAGATGGGCGATATCACGGAATGATAATGCGCACTTTCGATAGGTAACGATCCTACCTCTATCGAATTCTGTCACTTGCTGGTAATCATTCCTTCTTATTATTCGAGGCATAACACAATATTCTAAGCGACTCCGATCTTACAAAGCGTTTACTGAATGAGAAATCCACTGCACAGCTTTTCTTTAATGCAGTGCTTCAGATGTAGTTCTTCTCCCGCATCGTCCAAATGCTCTGAAATAGTTACTAATCATTTGCATATCCCAACCTCTTCTGTATGTGTGTACACACACACACACACATATATAAATATATGTATACATAATTTATTTCCTAAACAGTATTGATTAATTGATTATATTATCTCCTAAGTTTAATTAAAGTAGAATTATTTTAAAATACATACTGGTAAGTTATATTTTGAAAGATGCTTTGAAGTAATTTGAAAGCAAAATCTTAATAATGTTTTAACGGGGACTGGAGTTAAATCATCACGAAGAATAATATTTCAATTGTAAAAGGAAAAATTAAAACATGTAATTATTGTCATTGATCGGAAATTAGTTGACTTTCAAGGGGAACAAACAAATCCCGTTCAATGAACAATAATTGATAAAAAATACGTAAATATGAAAGTGTTTCGTCTTTACTCGAGTTATAAGTTAAAGCCAACCGGCAATTCTAGTCAGGCCAAATATTTCCGCGAATAGTTTGCTACTCAAGAACTTATTCTCATGAAGCGCTTTTTAGCCAATTCAATTTGGAGTAAAAATCAATTACTGTATAGAAATCCTGTAAAACTCGAGTAACCGTCCCCGACACTATCATCTTTATGTATTTGAGTACTATATTATTTGTAGAAATTAAACATTAGAAATTGTCATTATGAAATCGAATTCAAAGTAAAGTTGAAATAAACATAGAAGATTATAAAAAAGGTAAGTAATGCAAACGTTCTAAAAACAAATCAAGAAAACATAAAAATAATATAACAATAATATAGAAAATAATATAAATAAGATCAGTGAATGTACATGAAGATATAAAGGCCAGAAAGGTTAAAGTAAACTTACATTCTTTCTAGTGGGGGAGTTGGCAAAGTGTCTCTTCGTGTCTGACTCAGAAGTGTAGGGTGTCCGAAAATTCTTAGCGGCAGAAGGGGCTTTGAATAATATCAGTCGTAAGACTTGGGTGAAGTAATTTATGGTAGTGGGTGGGACTTGGAATTCTTGAGGGATGTATTTTGTGGAGTTCTTATCTGAGAGAGACCGTCTGTTAAGATTTTTGTCTAATTTGTCTGATTAAGGTCTGTTTAATTTTGTGTGCATCCGTTTCTAGCCTTCCTGGTATCTTACGTACTATAAGCTGATTTGTGGTTGCACTTACGTCAACAATGTCAGAATGACACCTCTAAAAAATGTTTTAATTACATATTGATGAAATCTTTGTTCACATTTAGGACGAAGTTCATCTAGAACTAGAATAAAATTATAAATAAAAGAGACGGAGACAGATAATTAAGCATATAATATACATTTGCTTCCAGAACTATTTTTATAAGATTAGAAATATTTTTATTAGGATTATTTTCGTATATTCTTTGTCTGTATTTATATGTTTGGACTGGCGAATAATGGATTCCAACTTCTAATCTTTCTGAAGCTAATCTGAGGAAATGATCTTATATAATTCGAATTAGCATTTATTTACTCGTTTTATAAAATTAATTTTTTGCTGAATTAGATACAAAATAGTTGGTGGATGCGATAAAATTCAGAAATATATTGAAGTACTGAATAATAAGTGCTTTTCTTCGAAAAGGACATATATTGTTATTCATTGCATTGTCATTGCATCATTTTGTAATCCAGCTTATTTTTACTTATATTAGTGCCAAAAGCTAGCTCAATCCGCACTGCACACCAGTCGTTGCAATGGTGTCTAATTTGTTCATTCCTTATTAATTATTTTATTTCATATTCTTCTGCGATCCTTAAAATGAAAAGGACCACTACTAACATGCCAGCCAAAGCTCAAAGTATGATACAGTTTGTCAAATATTTCTGGTTCTGACAAGCAATCTCTATGTCTAGCCAAGAGAAACCAGATAAATGTCTATTTTTCTTTTCAATGCTTTCTAACGAAATTGAGGTTCTTACTGGTATGAAAGCATATTCGCTGTTTAATTATGTAGTGTTTAAAAGCTATATATTTATAATTGATACTTTTATTTGTTGTCTTACCTTGTTAGTTACCTTACCTTTGTTAGTTAATTATTTGGAATCTCTGTAATGGTTCATGTGAACTAAAATTATGAACTAAAATAAAGAAAGAAATCGTCGCCTCAGAAAAATATAAAAGTCATATAAAATAGATTCTTAGATGATGATGTTAGACTGTGATCTGTTTTAAACGTTTAAAATATCATTATGGAGCCGTTTTGGAATTTTTGTGGTGATGGGTTACATTATATTATATTATACTTTTATGTATTCATACATACATTCTTTGACAAGTTTTGCCTATGCAAAAAGCATTTTACTGATCAACATCGGTGACTCTACGCGTAAATTACCGATAATCATGAAACTGGCATCACCGGTACCTTGCACTTTAATTTAATACTGACAATTTTTCAAAATTTAGTGCCCTGCCAATCGTTGAGAACAAATGGATTGATCGCCGATTACCCATATATCAGCGGTCGCGTGACGAATAGCTTCGACAAGCAAGGTCGTTTTTCTTTGGTTCAGTTTTAATCGTTTTAATTTATTTAAATTTACCTCTCTGCCCGACTCTGGAACACTAAGTGTTGACAGTAAATGAGCAACAATGTGTTGACAGTAAATGAGCAACAAATTGTTGATCAATTAAATTTCTAAGTTAAAAAACAAGGTGCTTTCTGTAATTGTGCTTTCTCCTTTTATTATTCCCATTCAAACCATGGGACATGGCATATACTATATGGACTCACTAAAATAATTCTGTTTTCTGTCTTTAACTTAAAATTTTTATGCTGTTAATTTTTAATGTTGTAATAATTTTGGCAGGCGGAAGAATCTTTGATGTGAGTCTTAATAATGAAGGAGAAGTTCCTAAAGAAGAAACTCAGCCATTTGTTTAAAAATTCTTCGGCCATTAAGAAGAAAAAGAAGATTTATAATGAGCTTACATACACAGCCGTGTTTTATGTCTTTCTTTAGTGAAAGCATTTCCATGTGTGCAGAAGGCCCTACTATCTATTATTAATGAAACAATTACCCTGATTAAAGTGTTATTGTTATATATAATGTGCTAAATAATTTTTTCCTGCATATGTTTCTTGTGAAAACATTTCTTGAAAATCTGTCTGAAAATGTATTACAGATAAAATTTGTGAAACGAATATAGCTACATTTTTCATGTAAAGAAATATTAAACTGGTACATTATTTCAATTTCCCAGTTATCGTAAAAAGGTAACTTTAATATTTATTGACTTCATAAAACTTATTAGTTTATCGATAAACTAATAAGTTTTATGAAGCATTTCTGAAGTTTTATGAAGTTTTAATTTTATTAACTTCATAATTTTAAGATAACATTTTCACGTAATACTGCAAAAAGGATTTCTTATCAACATTTTCAATTTTTAGGTATTGCATTAATGTCTGGAAGTATTTTGATTTTATTGTACAGCCTATATCTCTGATATTTAGGCTTCATAATCAATCCATTAAATGTTAAAATTTTAATTTAAAATATTTTGCTGAAATATTTTGAATGACATAAAAGCATTGCTTACAACTCGTCAAATTCTTATTTGAGAGCTTATATTCCTGATTTGATTCAAATTCATTGAGTGTGAGCATTACATTTTGTACTTCCAATATTTCTTAATCTGTGCAATTATATAGGATCGTTTATTCATTATTAATGTTATTTAACTATGAAAGTTGTCAGAAGAAAGCAGAAAAACAAAAAATCAATAAAACTATATAAAACATGCTGCGATTAGACTATACTGAGCAAACCTTACGTAATATTTTCTATAAGAAGTTTTTATATGGTCATTATTTTCTCAGCTGTTGATCTTATGCATGTATTTCTATCTATAATAGTGTTTTAAATATGGAAAATATTCATCTTAAGTTTTGTAATACTTATGCAATCGAACTTTTCATATGATCGCCTTGTACATGTAATGTTTAGTAAATGTTTATACGTTTTCTAAAAACTAAAACACAATAAGATTAATTCCTATACGACCGAAACTAATCACTTTATTTAATTTTAAAAATTTAGATGATAATTTTAAAATTTCGGGGTTGTAAACAAATTATAGAGGGAAGTATTTAAATTTGTTCGTGATTAAAAATGTAATACCAGGTTGGAGTAATGTATAGTTTGCTAATATATGAAATGAAGATTTCTAGGAAGACTGTATGCAGACTATCAAAAATGGTTTTATCAATATATTTTTTCTAAAAAGGAAGTCTTAATCACGGAATCTTAGAAATGTTGGCCTTGGTACATAGTATCAGGCTCCGGTAGTGACAAATAGACAAATCGCAAAATTATTTGTCTAAATTATAAATGAAAAATGTTTCTAACCCAATGATTGTTTTTGAAGACTATTATATTATACTATATAATAAAAAGTGCGTATGAAATTGCATTAATATATGTTTAATACGTATACATTAATGTATGTAATGCGTATAATTATTTGCGTGAAAATGCCTTTTTCATATGAAATGTAACAAAATTATAAATTAAAGAATATCACATTCTATTTTGCGTGAAAATGCTTCCGTAGTATCAAATGTAACAAATTTATATATTAATGAATGTTTATATTCTAACATGCTTGAAAATGTTTTCGTCATTTCAAATGTAATAAAATTATAAATTAATGAACTTCATTCTAATTCGCGTGAAAATGTTGCCATCACATCAAATGTACGAAAGGAATATTTCTGTCAAACCGTTTTCATCATATCAAGTGTAAGAAAATTATACATTAATTAGCATTACATTTCTAATTCGAGTGAAAATGTTTCCATCACATCAAATGTACGAAAGAAATATTTCTGTCAAACCGCTTTCATCATATCAAGGGTACGAAAATTAGAAATTAATGAGCATTACAGTTCTAATTCGAGTGAAAATGTTTTCGTTATATCAAATGTAACAAAATTAAAAATTGGTGAATATTCTAGTAACTCACAAAAGAATATCACTTTTTGCCAGTAACGGGAAAAATTGAACATCGAAATCTAACATATTTTTAATCGACTTTCCAATAAAGACCCAAAATAACGGCTTCTAGCCTCGAAAAAGCTTTAAAAACGTTTTTAAACTTTGAAATCAAATATACAGATCAAATTTTGTAAAACAGAAATCATCCTTTTTATGTTTTTTATTTTGGAATAAGTACAGTTTTTAAATGTAACATATAGACCAAAAGACTGCACGATAATTTAGAATTCGAAATTTTTATAAATAGTTTTCTAAATTTTAAAATATAGTATCACAGTTATTCTGTTCAAAGCATTTTCATTATCGTAAATGCATGTCTTTGTCCAACAACTAGGAAACGAAAGGCGATATAAAGCCTTTTACGAACGAGCTGTATGTCATAATAAGATTGATTAATCCTGAGATCGTACATAATCGTTGATTATTTATGACCAGAATAGATAGTGATCAATATCGCCAATAATTTTAATAAATGTCACGAATTTTACTGGAGTTTGGCTATTTTTCTAGGGAACTGTTTTAATTTCCAAATAAAATTGATTAGTTTGATAAAATTTCTAGGATTTCGTTTACGAGTGATTATGAGCAGTTCTCAGGCTTTCTATATTGACTATTATGCCTAATTTTCAACAGAATCTATTAAATAGGGAACAATTATCATATTTTGTGTTTTGAATTTCTGAGTACGCATAGTCTCTGGTACATTAAAAATGTTATAATTTTCTCCCTCTCTCTTTCTTTTAAACATTATTGAACTGCTTTTCTTGTTTTAATTTATCAAATAGCTATATTTTATTAGAAATCACTTATAATAACTATGAAGTGTATTCAGACAGAATGCTCGAAACACGTATTTTACATTTGATAATTACATTCCAAATACGCAAATCGCAGTTTTCTAGATTAACTGTTGAATCGTCGAAATCAAATACAATATACTCCAGACCGACATAGGAAAATTTTGACATCTGCAACCTCAAGTGTTTAGAGAAGGAAGACAGTCAAAGGCCATATTAAACGAGGGCTAATAAAAATGAATGATCCAGTTATATTTCAGATAGCTTTTCTGCTCTTAGTAAGATATATATAAATTAAACATAAAGCATCCACAATTAAAATTAAATTGGAATCAAAACAAGGCAATTCGCTAATAATATCAAAAATTGCAACCTTGGATAAAAGGTAAACATTGTGGCTAAATATAATTTCAATTAATATAAGAATTCATTAGTCGAATAAACTGGAAAAATAATAAATTGGTAATAGAAATAAAAACTATATGTATAGCACATTGGTTACAAACTTTCAAAGAAGATAGAGTGCACCCTGACAATAGAAAATTACACAGCAATTTCATGGTCGGAAGCACACTCCTGGCGCGGTAGTAACGACACAAAATATAAGAAAGAAAGAACAAGAACAGAGGGAGAAAATTATTATGCTTAGTACATCTAAAATGTTACGACGGCTTTGGCTATTGTACAAGGTAGATGTCGTCTCAAATCTGAATGCAACGTATCCACAACACTAGATTGCCACAGGTGGTCCTCTGCATTGGCCAACAAGATTGCCAGACCTCACCCTCATTTACTACTTTTTCTGGGGATACGTCAAGACTCTAGTATCCAAAATCCCCGTTAACAGTGCTGAGAACCTGTTTCATGCATCGAGGTAGCTGCTGGGGAAGCCCGCGGCACTCCCAGTATTTTCCAGAACGCAGATCTCCTATGTGCCAGAACTGTAAAGGCTGCATTTCTATCTGGGGTCGTAATTACGAGCACCTTCGTTGATGACAATTATTGCCTGTTTTTGTTCTCATTCCTTGCTTTCTATTGAACTAAGCATGATAAACATATTTTCTCACCCTGCACATGTCCATCCCTTCTTGCGTTTTGTGTTGTCTGAACTGCGCCAGCAAAGCGTTTCCGACTATGTTTTGCAATGTGATTTTCCATCGTCAAAGTTTAGTCTATTTCTCCTGAAAGTATGTGACCGCTATGCTCAAACACTTTGTACATACAAGCTGTATTAAAGATATTCTGTTGCAGCGCAACATAAAATTAACTATTTTATGATTTTCGGATTTTTTGTATGACCAAAAGTCGTTAATTAAAGGATACTTTGCATGCATGTGCTTCTAGCATCTCTGATGTCTATAACTTGGAAATAAACTGATCAATTTTATGAAAAGTTAATTATGATTAATAATTTTACCACAACCTTGCAAGGATTTTTTTCTCAATTATATAACTATTTACTAAACAGTGCAGTGGAATTTAAAATAAATTTCTAATGGTGCAGCTTTTATAGTTACAAACTTCAAATGGGATGACATCTAATTGGAATGTAATTTTTACGTTTCTAAAATTTTTTCTTTTATGAAAATTGATGTCCTACATTATTCTTGCAATTATTTGTGTAAAACATATGTCACAGCAGACCTCCTACGTAAATATTAAATTTTTATTTGTTTTTTTATCTTCAGTATACGAGTTGTTGTTCCAATGTTGATGTAAATGTATAACTTATACAATTGTTCCCATATTCGTGTGATAATGATTTCAATAAAGCTATATGATGAACCTTACTAGAGTTTTATTAAAAAAAAACATTTTTTCGGAAGTTTTTCATATTTAGAATATATTAATTTACAGTTTGGGGTTTTATTTAGTTATTTCCATACGCTTGAAGAAGCAAATTTAAAAAAATGTTTGTGAGAACAATATCTAGCTTATGCAGAAGTAATGGAAGATTCATTATTTTTCAGGCCTTCCCATCTATTCTCCTAGTTAGTATAGTATACTTGTTGGGGAGCAAATAAATGCTTTTGCGAAAGAAATTCAATAATTTCATTAGTGACCATATTTGCATCATTTTACACTGACAGCATTTTAAAGATATGAATTAAATTATATAGCATCTCCTCCTTAATTATTTATCTTTCTAGTTAAATTTTATCTTTTTAGATAAATAGTTTCTAGTATTCGCTAGTCATGTTCTTTAGTTTTTGTAATTTTGAACTTTACTTTTTAGGAACCTTACGTTCAGTCATTATCAACCTTACATATTTTTAATTAATCAGAGAGCTGTGGAAAGATTACTCGTAAAGAATCGGTTGTTAAAATAATGCAAAACTATTTAAAGAAAATTTTATCTTATTAACAATGACAGGAAATTAAGGAGGCAAAGCTTATAAAA